TCCGGTGACCTTTGAGGATGTGTCTGTGGATTTCTCAGAGGAGGAGTGGGCTCTGCTGGATCCGGGCCAAAGGGCCCTGCACAGGGACGTCATGGAGGAGAATTATGGGAACCTGGCCTCTCTCGGTAAGGCTCTCTCTTTCTGGTGGAGCAAGATCTGTTGCTGTTGTTAATCTGTAAAACAGCCCTGTAGAGGAGTCACCAAGCACCTGAACAGCAGACCTCTGTTTCCTTTGCTCTTCTCTGCTTATTTAGCTTGTAGCTCCATGATATGGGGGGGGGGGTCTGAGAGAGCTGTTCCCAAGGTTGTAGCCTTCCTTCCTTCCTTCCTTCCTTTCTTCCTTCCTTCCTTCCTTCCCTCCTTCCTTCCTTCCTTCCTTTCTTCCTTCCTTCCTTCCTTCCCTCCTTCCTTCCTTCCTTCCTTTCTTCCTTCCTTCCTTCCTTCCCTTTTCAGAGCTCCTATGATCAGATGAGTGATGGCTAAAAGAATAATACTTTATTAACTAAAGGAAAAATATATTAGATGGAAATTTAGCAACCAAGTAGGTTATGTTCAGGTCACTGTCTACCATCAGACAGGGAATATTATCCCCTTGACGTTTATTAAACGGAGACCGTGTTAAAAGCGGTGAGATCCAGCGATTCCTAAAAGCAGGGAAAACCTGACATTCCAACAGTTTGTGAGACAGAGTTACCAATTTTACCCTGACCACAAGGGCAAAGATTATCTGAATATGGAATATTACAAAACCTCCCCTGTAATACTTTGGATGGGATAGCATTCAGGCGAGCTAAAGCGAATGCCCTAACAAAATGGGAGGGGGACATTAGATGTCTCAGGTATAATGCCAGGGTCCGACGAGGTAAGACACCAAAGATTTGACTCAAAACAGACTCTGCAAGAACAAATCACTGTACTGCTGCAATCAGCGAAGTTTTCAGTTGGCATCAAGAATCAAGTTATTTCCACAAACTCGTTTATAGCCGGAAATGCCAGAAAGTAACCAATGTGTTCTCTTCTTCTCAAATAAGGACTTCTGGTTCCCAATCCTAATTTAACCTCCCGGCTAGAAGTAGAAGAAGAGCCGTTTGTACGTATCTGCAAGGGAACAGAGAGATCGGCAGGTAGCTACCAGTTTACACGGTGGGAAACTGTTTCTGTTTTTTTTTTCTTGTTGACAGTTATCCTGGGGAAGAGGACTGTGGAAATAGGGATTGGAATGCTCATTGAGTACTGCGACAGCAGGACCAGAGGTGTTCCCTGGACTCTGGAGTTGAGGCCAACTGAATTTTGTTCCCTTGTTGGAAAGGAGACCCTCTGTGTTCTTGGCACTGCCTATGGACAGAGTGTGTGTGTGTGTGTGTGTGTGTATAGGGGGGGTGCAGTTGTGTAGGCCTTAAGGTAAAGGTAAAGGTTCCCTTGCTCGAAAGCCAGTCAAGTCCGACTCAAGGGTTGCGGTGCTCATCTCCATTTCAAAGCCAAAGAGCCAAAGACGTTTCTGTGGTCATGTGGCCGGCATGACTAAACACCAAGGCGCACAGAACGCTGTTACCTTCCCACTGAAGTGGTACCTATTTATCTACTTGCAATTTCTTGCTTTCCAGGGGTCGTTTCGTAGAAAAAGAGCTAGGGGAACTCATTAGCATAACTCATTAGCATATGCCACACACCCTGAGATCACCGGAAGTGTGTCATAAGGCCACACCCCCTGACATCACCAGAAGTGTGTCATAAGGCCACACACTCTGCCCCCAACGGTCCCGGCCGCCTCCGCCGGCCTTGCGCGCTGTCCAAAGACGTTTCCGTGGTCATGTGGCCGGCATGACTAAACACCAAGGCGCACGGAACGCTGTTACCTTCCCACCGAAGTGGTACCTATTTACCTACTTGCAATTTCTTGCTTTCGAACTGCTAGGTTGGCAGGAGCTGGAACTAGAGATGGGAGCTCACTCCATCATGCGGCACACTCGGGTCTCGAACTGCTGAACTACCGACCTTCCACAGCCTGCAGTTCAGCGTCTTAACCACTTGAGTCACCGCAGCTCCTTTTATAGGCCTTAAACTCCTCATCAAATAGGCCTAGGCAAAGAAGAAGAGGAAGAAGAAATTGGATTTATACCCTGCCCTTCGCTCAGAGTCTCAGAGCAGCTTACTATCTCCTTCCCTTCCTCTTTTGAGAACTGCTCTTGAGAGAACAGCTCTGAAAGAACTTGTGACTGACCCAAGGCCATGGCAGCAGCTGTATATGGAAGCCTGAGGAATCAAACCTGGTTCTCCCAGATTAGAGTCTGCTGTCTTAACCACTACACCAAACTGGCTGGGAGTATCTTCTTTTCATCTCCATCCCTGGATGAATTAAGCACAGTGGCCTAAAATTTGGACCATTCTGCAATAAGAATGTAAGAGAAGCCAATGATGGATCAGGCCAAAGGCCCATCCAGTCCAACACTCAGTGTCACACAGTGGCCAAAAATACCAGGTGCCATCAGGAGGTCCAGCAGTGGGGCCAGGACACTAGAGGCCCTCCCACTGTTGCCCCCCCCCAAGCACCAAGAATATAGAGCAGTGATGGCGAACCTTTTAGAGACCGAGTGCCCAAACTGCGACCCAGAACCCACTTATTTATTGCAAAGTGCCAACACAGCAATTTAACCTGAATACCGAGGTTTTACTTGAGAAAAAAACAACTCATACATTAACTTAAGATGATCCAAACAAAGTAAGGAAAGCAATCCCAAATACTTTCATTTACTTAAAATTATTTGGCAGAGAATTCAACACTTTAATGATGGTCTGGGCCTGGCTGGGGCGATGGCACGTGTGCCCACAGAGAGGGCTCTGAGTGCCACCTCTGGCACCCGTGCCATAGGTTCGCCACCACTGATATAGAGCATCCCTTGCCCCAGACCCAGAGTCCCTATCTATACCTTGTGACCAATAGCCACTGATGGACCTCTGCTCCATATGCTTATCCAATTCCCTCTTGAAGCCGTCCAGGCTTGACAGTCTGCCTGAACTCCACATTGTGCTGTACGTGCCCCTCCCCTGGGTCTAGAGGTGGATTGAGAGCAATCTCATCCATTTCCACTCAGGCTGAAGACAAGCAAACCCAATCCCATCCAAGGGTTCCAAGGGAGCAAAAACAGAAGTCTTGTGGAGGGCTTCCATCAGACACTGCAAAATTGATCCTCATGGCCCAGTAGATGGTGCCTTCAGCCGGATAGTTCTGTAGCAGGTTGGCTACAGAGCTGCAACTGGGAGGGAGGCAGGTCTTTCTTTCCCCTCTGGGATGTGGCTCAGTGGAAGTGCATCTGCTCGGCATGCAGAAGGTCCCAGGTTCGGTCCCCGGCGTCTCCAGTTACAGGTCCAGCCAGGAGGTGATGGGAAAGACCTCCGCCTGAGACCCTGGAGAGCCACTGCCAGTCCGAGTTGACAATACCGACTTTGATGGACTGATGGTCTGATTGAGTATTAAGGCAGGTTCATGTGTGTACAGTAATCCTTTTCCTGCCTGCTGTCCCAGGACTAAATGAGACAGGGAAGTTGGACTTGGCATGATGCCCCCCTCAGTTTTGTACCAGGACAGCGGTCACATCTCACCCAAGAAATGCTCACACCTGTGTGGTGCCCCCAGCTAGTCTAGACCAACGCTCCCTCGAAGCTGTGGAGTCCTGTGAGCAAAAATTCTGCTTTGTGAGCTACTAATGGCATTGAAGTTGTGAGCAAGCGATTTGGCTGCTGCATAAATCAGTTTGCTCTGGAGCCCTCCCTTCCTGAGCTGAGACACAAATGTGTGAGCCGGAGGCTAAAAAACTGTGAGCTAGCTCACACTAACCCAGCTTAGAGGGAACACTGGTCTAGACTGGGGCATTCTGCGGTGATCTTTGAACATTTGTTGTTCTGTTTTGGAAGAATATCAGTTTCGGATGTCAGTGTGGCCCTGTGGCACAAGGTACTTTCCACCCAATACTCTTTTTAGTATCTGAATTGTAGCATTAGACTAGTTTTCAGTTACCTCCAAGATCTGGGATGGTCTCCTATCGAAAGGGGGTTAGAAACTCAATTGGCCCTTCCTTCTGAGTCAGAATACGACCTAATATGTTTCTCCCTGCTGTCATGGAACTAATCAGAAAGGAACTTTTTTTTTTTCATTTTTAAAATGTTTATTAAGAGGAACTTGCAGGGCTCTTTTTGTAGCAGGAACTCCTTTGCATATTAGGCGACACACCCCTAATGTAGCCAATCCTCCAAGAGCTCTGTAGCCCCTGTAAGAAGAGCTCTGTAAGCTCTTGGAGGATTGGCTACATTAGGGGTGTGTGGCCTAATATGCAAAGGAGTTCCTGCTACAAAAAGAGCCCCGAGAGGAAGTATAACATATCAAGAAATATAATAACTGCAAAACAGTATACAACTTTCCTGAAAATCCAAAATTACAAACTAACCAGTTAGTCATCAATACAGATTTTTACAACATACGTCAACAGTCATAACAAACTAAGTTTGTACTAAATCCGATCACCTATACATAGATGCTATGTGAGCTATGAATCCCATAGAATTGAGTCACGTTTAAAAGATAACATCTTCAGGAGTCTGATGCTCTGATTCACAAGAAGAGTCTCGACAGTAAGGTGGAGGTCTGGTTAAACTCAAAAGTGTAGCCATGTGTGATAACTCGTCCTAGAAGGAAGCACATTATTTTCAGCCATGGTAAGTTCCACTTCCCTTTTAGAACATAAGAGAAGCCAATGCTGTTGGTTGGTTGGTTGGTTGGTTGGTTGGTTGGTTGGTTGGTTGGTTGGTTGGTTGTTCGTATTTATAGCCTACCTATCCTACAAGCGGGCTCATATCAAACAATACAATAAATACAGTTTGAACAAAATTAAAACACAATAATAAACCTTAAAATCGGCGGTTACAGCTCAAAACAAGAATCAACTGGCTCCCCATCTGGGGTCTCTCTTTATCTCTACAGCACAGAAAAGCAAGAGAAGAGAAGAAGAGCAGAAAAGGGAAAGTGATGAAAAACAGAAGTGGAAGAAGGAATCCGGTGCTTCTGAAAGTGCCAGCTGCCTGGAAACGACAACGCGAGAAGAAAATCACAAAGAACAGAGAAGCATTATGCTCCCTCTGTGTGCAGGCACTTCAACTGGACCGTCAGTCTCCAACATGCAACAGGGAAGTCAAAACAGGGAGAAACTGTTTCAGCTGTCAGAGTGTGAGAAGAGCTTCAGGCTGAATGAAACTCTTACCTTACCCCAAAAATCACGCACCGAGGAGAAGGCGCACAAATGCTCCGAGTGTGGAGAGAGCTTCCACAAGAAGGACCACCTCGTTGCACATCAAAGAGGTCACATTGCCGGAAAAACCTACGACTGCCCCGAATGTGGAAGGAGCTTCAGTCACGGCTCTGGCCTTGCTTCCCATCAGAGGATCCACACAGGAGACAAACCCAATACATGCACAGAGTGTGGAAAGAGTTTTAGTCGCAGCACAAGCCTTACTTACCACCAAAGAATCCACACAGGAGAAAAACCATATAAATGCGCTGAATGTGGGAAAAGCTTCACTTACATCTCTGGTTTTTCTTACCATCAAAGAATCCACACGGGAGTGAAACCATATCAATGCTCACAGTGTGGGAAGAGCTTCAGTCTCAACTCAGGACTTGCCTCCCATCAAAAAATCCACACGGGAGAGAAACCGTATAAATGCACACAGTGTGGAAAGAGTTTCAGTCACAGTTCAGGTCTTTCTTACCATCAAAGAACCCACACAGGGGAGAAACCATATAAATGTTCACAGTGTGGAAAGGGCTTCAGAGAAAGTGGAAAACTTACTTCCCATCAAAGAACTCATACAGGAGAGAAGCCATATTGCTGCTCAGAGTGTGGAAAGAGTTTCAGTCACCATTCAGGTCTTGCTTACCATCAAAGAATCCACACAGGGGAGAAACCATATAAATGCACTGAGTGCGGGAAGAGTTTCAGTCACAGCTCAGGGCTTATTTCCCATCAAAGAATTCACACAGGGAAGAAACCATATACATGTTTTGAGTGTGGAAAGAGCTTTAGTCAGAGCACAATCCTCAATATACATCAGAGAATCCACACTGGTGAGAAACCTTATACATGTCCTGAGTGTGGAAAGAGCTTCAGCCATAGCTCAGGTCTTGCTTACCATCAAAGAGTCCACACAGGGGAGAAGCTATACAAATGCACTGAGTGTGGAAAGAGCTTCAGTTGCAACTCAGGCCTTACTTACCATCAAAGGGTTCATAAAGGGGAGAGACCATATAAGTGTGCTGAGTGTGGACAGACCTTCAGAGAAAGTGGAAAACTTGCTTCCCATCAAAGAACTCACACTGGAGAGAAACCATATAAATGCTCTGAATGTGGAAAGAGCTTCAGAGAAAGCGGAAAACTTGTTTCCCATCAAAGAATCCACACAGGAGAGAAACCATATCAGTGTTCAGAGTGCGGAAGGAGCTTCTCTCAGAGTGGAAATCTTGCGTCCCATAAAAAAATCCACACAAGGGAGAAACCGTATAAATGCCCTGAGTGTGGAAAGAGCTTCAGTTACAGTTCCAGCCTTGCTTACCATCAAAGAATCCACACAGGGGAGAAGCCATATAAATGCTCAGTGTGTGAGAAAAGTTTCTGCCACAGCAGATACCTTACTTACCACCAAGTCATCCACACTGGGGAGAAGCCATTTAAGTGTTCTGTGTGCGGAAAGTGCTTCAGACGGAGTACATACCGGAATGCACATCAGAAAACCCACATAGAAATAATTCCCCAAGAAAACCATACACACGGGATCTGTGATATCAGCCTAGCATTCTCTCCTCCCTAAAGCTGACTCTGTTCTGTGCCATGTAAGCCAAAGATGAGGAAGCTGTCCTTCTGGATGTAGTCTTTGATAAATGAGTTTCTCTGGCTTCTAATGCTGGTTGAAGCAGAAGACTATTTCTTAAGATTAGCTAACTCTAGCCAAGTTCTCTGCACACCACAAGTAGGCAGACTGGGGAAAGGATGTGGTTTATAATCCACAAGGATCCATGTTCCTCCCCAGGTGTGAAATCCAGAAAGTCCCTTTGTCAAATGTGCACCTGAGGTTGGGGACAAAGGAAAGGCTGAGAATTCTATTCGCTTGCTGGCCCTCTAAGCTGTGGAGTCTTGTGAGCAAAAATTCTACTTTGTGAGCTGCTGGCATTAAAGTTGTGAGCAAGCGGTTTGGCTGCTGCATACATTAGTTTGCCCTGGAGCCATCCCTTCCTGAGTTAAGACAAAAATGTGTGAGCCGGAGGCTAAAAAAACTGTGAGCTAGCTCACACTAACTCAGCTTAGAGGGAACGCTGCCGGGGACCCTAAACTCTGAAACCCCCTCCCCACAGCCATCTTTCTGGCACTGAAAGCTTATCCACACCTTCTTGTTTTGGGGGGCATTTGACTGACAGGACCCGAAGCGACGGGTTTAAATTGCATGTAGAAAGGTATCGGCTGGAGATTAGGAAAAACTTTATCACGGTCAGAGTGGTTCAGAGGTGGAACCAGCTGCCTAGGGAGGTGGTGGGCTCCCCATCACTGACAGCTTTCAAGAAGAGGCTGGACGATTATTTATCACACATGCTTTAGGTTGGTCCTGCATTGGGCAGGGGGGTTGGACTAGATGGCCTGTATGGCCCCTTCCAACTCTGATTCTGTGATTCTGTTCTATGATCTCCTCGCACAAAAACATGCTGAGAGTTAAAACTGCCTTTCTGTGTTAATGTCTTGCATATTGAAGAAAGGTTAAAGCGCTTTGGGCTCTTTAGCTTGGAGAAACGACGGCTGAGGGGTGAACATAAGAGACGCCAATGTTGGATCAGGCCAAAGGCCCATCTCTGTCCAACACTCTGTCACACAGTGGCCAAAAATACCAGGTGCCATCAGGAGGTCCAGCAGTGGGGCCAGGACACTAGAAGCCCTCCCACTGCCCCCCCCTCCCCAGGCACCAAGAATACAGAGCATCCCTTGCCCCAGACCGAGAGTTCCTAAGAACATAAGAGAAGCCAATGTTGGATCAGGCCAATGGCCCATCCAGTCCAACACTCTGTCACACAGTGGCCAAAAATACCAGGTGCCATCAGGAGGTCCACCAGTGGGGCCAGGACAGTAGAAGCCCCCCCACTGTTGACGCCCCCCCAAGCACCAAGAAGACAGAGCATCACTTGCCCCGGAGTCTCTATCTATACCTTGTGGCTAATAGCCACTGATGGACCTCTGCTCCATATGCTTATCTAATTCCCTCTTGAAGCCGTCCATGCTTGTAGCCGCCACCACTTCCTGTGGCAGTGAATTCCAAGTGTGAATCACTCTTTGGGTGAAGAAGTACTTCCTTTTATCTGTTCTAACCCGACTGCTCAGCAATTTCATGGAGTGCCCCGCCTACATCACAGGGTGTCTGTTATGGGAAGGGGGAGGGAAAGGAGTTTGTAAGCCGCTCTGAGTGAAGGGCAGGGTATGAATCCAACCTCTTCTTCTTCCTCTTCTTAATGGCAGAGTCCGTCGTACCTACGTGGCAAGGCGACTCGCAGGGTGACACCTGATTGCAGCACTGTGACTTGCCTGGGCCAAGCAGGTGAGGTGGTCACTGCCTTGAGACTCAGTTAGCGATATAGAAACATGGAGCTGAAATGGACCTCGAGGGTCTTCTCGTCCAAGTCCCTCCACAATGCAGGAAATTCACAATTACTTCCTCCACCACGCCCCCAGTGACCCCCTGCTCTATGCCCAGAGGAAGGCAAAAGAAACCTACAGCATTCCTGGGCCAATCTGGCCAGGAGGAAAATTCCTCCCAGACCCCAAATGGTCTGTCGGCATTTGGCATTCCCCTGGGCATATAAGAGAGGGCCACGAGAGCCGAGCACTGATTCATCCCTTCCTGCTCTCATGATCTGCCTCAGTTCACAGAATCAGCATGGCCATCAGATGGCTATTTAAAGGTAAAGGTTCCCTTGCTCGAAAGCCAGTTGAATCCGACTCTAGGGTTGCGGTGCTCATCTCCGTTTCAAAGCCGAAGAGCCAGCGCTGTCCGAAGACGTTTCCGTGGTCATGTGGCCGGCATGACTAAACACCAAGGCGCACGGAACGGTGTCACCTTCCCACTGAAGTGGTGCCTATTTATCTACTTGCAATGTCTTGCTTTCGAACTGCTAGGTTGGCAGGAGCTGGAACTAGAGACGGGAGCTCACTCCGTCATGCGGCACACCCGGGTCTCGAACTGCTGAACTAACGACCTTCCAGAGCCTGCAGTTCAGCGTCTTAACCACTTGAGCCACCGCAGCTCCTTAGATGGCTATTCGGCCTCTGCTTAAAGACCTCAAGAGAAGGGGAGCCCACCACCTCCCAAGGAAGCCTGTTCCATTGAGGAACCGATCTAACTGTCAGGAAGGTCTTCCTAACGTTTAGCCGAAAACACACTTTTGATTCCATTCCATTCCATCGTTTCTGACCCGGCTTATATAATAATGATACCGCCATCGTTTTGTTAATTGTTTTTAATAACTTGTGCATTTTATGTTAATATTTGTACTGTTGTCTACCAATTGGTTCTTGTATATGGCGCCCTGAGCCTGACTCAGCAGGGAGGGCGGAGTAAAAACCAAATCAATAAATAAATATAAATAAACTTTCTGGAGCAATAGAAATCAACTCCGCTCCATCTTCTATGAGACAGTCCTTCAAATAGAAGAAGAAGAAGAGATTGGATTTATGCCCCGCCCTTCACTACCCAGAGGAGTCTCAGAGTGGCTTACAAACTCCTTTTCCCTTCCCCTCCCCACAACAGACACCCTGTGAGGTATGTGGGGCTGAGAGAGCTCTTGACAGAAACTGCTCTTTTTTCAAGGACAGCTGTGCCAGAGCTTGTGACTGACCCAAGGTCACATCAGCAGGTGCGAGTGGAGGAGTGGGGAATCAAACCCGGTTCTCCCAGATTAGAGTCCGCGCACTTAACCACTACACCAAACTGATATAGAATATCAAATAGGCAGATCACGAGAGGGAGGACCGGAAGGGTTGCCTCAGTGCTTCGTTCTTGTGGCCCTTTGTTTACACGACCAGGGAAATGCTGATCGCCACTTTGGGGTCAGGAAGCAATTTTCCTCCAGGCCAGTTTGGCAGGAGATCCTGGAGGGTTTTTGTCATCTTCTGGGCATGGAACGGGTCACTGGGGGTGTGGAGGGGGAGGTGTTTGTGCATTTCCTGGCTTGTGCAGGGGGTTGGACTTGATGACCCTGGAGGTCCCTTCCAACTCTGTGATTCTATATTTGAAGATGGCTATCATATCACCACTCAGTTGTCTCCTCTCCAGCCTAAACATGTGCTTCAACCTTTCATCATAGGGCTTGGTCTCCAGATGCCTCACCATCTTTGTTGCCCTCCTCTGGACACATTTAACATCCTCCTTAAATTGCTGTGTGGCAAACTGGACGCGGTACTCCAAGGGTGCGTTCAGACGGGGTGTTTCTGCCAGCATAAACTGCACCGGTTGGAACCGGTGCAGTTTCTGCCGGCAGAAACGCGATCACACTTACCTCCATCTTCCAGATCCCTCCGGTGGATGCCTGCTCACACGCTGCGGGCGTCGGCGTTTTTTTTTTTTTAAGCACAGTTTGAGCATGCGCATAGGCAGCCATTCACAGAATGGCGATTTTTGCACATGTTCAACCCCCCCCCATTACATTTAAACTTTAAAGGTAAGGACTTACCTTTAAAGTTTAAAGCCCAACCTGGCCTCCCTGTAGTCCCGGACTCCTCCGGGAAGTTAAACTAAGGGCTTTTTTTTTTCTTAACAAACGCTCGGGGTGAAGTTTCGCCTGAGCGCATATCGCTTACTTTTAAAAAAAAAAAGGCGGGGGAAAGCCGGAAGCCTCAGGCTTCCGACGGAAGTGTCTCTGCAACGTTGGAGAGCGATCAGACGCCGGGGTGCACCGTTTACAACCGTTGCACTCAGTTTACCACCACTTGGGACCTAGTGGCAGAGTGCAACGGTGTAAAGGGCTTTACACCGGTTAGGGACAGGAGGCAGATGTTCGTCGTGTGAATGCCGGTGGGTACACCGGTTGCAATCGGAACCCTAACCGATGTAAAGCCCCTGTCTGAACGCACCCCAAGTGTGATTTAAGCAGAGCAGAATAAAGTTATAGCATCGTTTTGCACGATCTGGACCTTAAACTTCTGTTGATGCTGGCCAAAATCACATTTGCCCTTTTAACATCACACTGCTGACTCAAGTTCAGCGTATGTCTTCTAAGACCCCTAGATCCTTTTCTCATGTACTACTCCCAAGACAAGTCTCTCCCTACAGTTATGCATTTGATTTTTCCTACCTAAATGCACAACTTTACATTTATCTCTATTGAAATTCATTTTGTTAGTTTTAGCCCAGCTTTCCAGCCTGTCAAGGTTATTCTGTGTCCTGATTCCGTCTTCCGCTGTTATTTGCTACCCCTCCCAATTTAGTATCTTCTGCAAATTTAATGAGCAGCCCCTCTGTGCAGCCTAGTTGGGTGCTGTGCAAAACTCACTGAGGTCAGGTGTCTTTTCATGAGTGGGATCCTTTGCAGGGCTGTTTTGCACACCCCTGGGGCATCTGGTTCCTTGCCTCCACTACTGGAGATTTCGCCGTTTGCAGTGATCCCAAGAACTTAACTCCCACAAGTGGCAAGGTTCTAATGTAGTCAATGCCATTCTCAGATTGAACTATTGTAGGTGGTCAACACTTGCTCAGAAGAGTAGACAGTTTTCCATCTCATTCTTTTAATAAACATTTTACAAACATTTTTTGTAAACATTTACAGTATTGGACACCGACAGCGAAATATGCGAGCAGTCTGAGTATTTAATTTAAAACCCTGTTGAGATTAATTCAGTTGAAAGTTCAGCGTCGTTCTATACATCGGCAGAATTCTCATGAAGACAAAGAGCTTTTCTCTCAGCTGAAATAGTGGGATCTTCCGTGCTTTGTAAATAAAGAACATGCTCTCTTCTCCGAGTTTTATTTCTTTAAAACATTTGTACAATGAGAGTTGACGTGGTTTAATAACTGTAAGACAGAAATTGACCTTCAGCCAAAAATTCAATAGGTGAACAACGGTCAG